AGCTAGGAAGGCATCAGTGCTTCCCAGCTCAGTATACTTACTGTGACTGAGAATATAGCTGGATCCTACCAAGCACAGAAATCAGAAAAAAAGAAATGAAAATTTTTGTCAACCGCACTTCAGCACTGGGCATATGAATATCCTTCATTTTCGAAACTTAATCCATCTCTACATAAGTCCATAAGTGCCAGAATGGAGAACAAATAATCTTATTTCAAGCAATGGATTGAAGAAATGAATGGAATTAAAGGTATACATTTCTACCTTTTTGGTTATCAAAATGTAGATGCATCAGTGACTTTGTGTCCAAGATTAGAAAAAAATTTTGACAAAACAAATCTTAAATGTCCAGAAATATTAAAAACTATGTCAGCAAAGGGAGAGAGGTTGTTACAACTTCCATCTACAATTTTAAGGAGGTTCTTGGGTATGAAAATCAAGCCAAGTGTGTAAAAATTAAAAAGAATGTGAAGATTGTTTTGGGTAAGCTCCTCCATCTTCATATTCTTTACTAAGCTTTGGCATGCAGGTCCTCCATTTTGCCCCCTTGCTACCCAGTGAGCATTCAATTTAGTCTCCCCTTCCTGCAAATTCTCATTCGATGCACTCAGGACTAGCTTTCTTTGTGGTGCAGTCAGTTTCAAAATCACATATCCTTTCTCTATAATATTCAAGCAACACATTCTTTCTAGTACCTGATCTCAACTAAGTGTTAGAAAAAATAGAGCACATCCAACAAAACTGTCTCTTTAATGGTGAAATTCAGGAAGCAAAAAACAGAGAAGCTGAGCATTTCAGGCAATCTTAGGCCACAAGCTGGGGGTACAATGATCTTTCCAATGACTTTTATGGTTTATAGACTAAGTGATCACTGAAAGGCTAACCACAAATAAATGAATACGCAAGCATTTACTAAGGTCCTAAAGTAGGCCAATCACTATGCTAGGGGCTAGGCATTCAAAGATAGATGGAAAAACAGTCCTTAATTTCACCCTTTTGAATAGGCAGGACAAAAGAACAGAAATGGTAGATGGAATGCTGTATATGAGGAAAGAAGGGAGGTTAGGTGTTGCAGTGGAAGGAGTACTGTGCTGGGGATCAGGAAGAATCATCTTTGTGAGTTTAAATATGATCTCAGACACTTACTATCTCTGTGGCCCTGGGCAAGTCACTTACCCCTATTTGCTTCAGTTCTTCATTTGTAAGATGAGCTGGAAATGTAAATGGTAAACCATTCCAATATTTTTGCCAAGAAAACCCCAAAAGGGGTCATGTAGAGTCAAATATGATTCAAATGACTGAACAACAATATGGGGAAAAGCAATAAGGATATGTTAGTTAGACACTAGATTGGATTAAGGGAAAGAAGATTAATGTGCAATATGGTTGGAAATAAGGATTAGGTCCTCTTTCAGAAAGCATTTAAAAATCAAAAATAAGAGCTTCAATTTAATTCTATGAGAATTAGTGAGCCCTCTGAGGTTTAATGAGTGGGGGCGTGACATGCTCAATTTTGTGTTTTAGGAAAGCCAGTTTGTCAGAAATGTGATAGATGGATTAAAGAGGGGAGAAATGTGGGACAGCGACACCAATTAAAAGACACTGTACTATTCTAGAGAGTAAGTGACAAGGGTCAGAACTAAAGTCGTGACTGAGAAATGAAGTTGAAGGGACAAATGTGGGAGACGTGCTGATAGAAAGAATACTATGTGAAAACTGATTAAATATGGGGACAGAGGTAAGAGTGACATGAAAAGGATAGCAGTGAAGATATGAATCTGGAGACTGCAAGGATGATAGTACTCTTGAAGAAGTAAGAAAGTTGAGAACCAGGGGGTCTGTGGAAAATGGGGAAGATAATCAGTGGGTTTGGGACATGCTGAGTTTGAGATAGCTAAAGGACATCCACTTTGGAATGCCCAATACATGACACAATTCTAAAGCTTAAGAGAGAAAGACTAAGGCAGGAAATATAGCAAAGGAACTCATCATCATAATGGGAACATGAAAAAACCCATGTGAAATAATATGGTCACTGAGAGAACATGAAAGGAAAGAACAGTAGAAAGTCTAAATCAGAAGCTGTGCATAAACATAGTTAGAGGGCGTGATGGGACAGTGATGTTGCAGCATGAGAAATTAAGAATTAGTTGTCAGATATTAAGACAACCAAGAGAGAGCAGAATAACAAAAATCCAGAGAGGAAACACTATAAAAGAATGAGAGTGCTCAAGAGTGTCAAATACTACATAGACGTCAAGAAGAATGAGTTTTTAGAAAAATCTATCAGATATACACAAAAATAAATTGTTGACTTTGAAAACGATAATTTCAGTTGACTCATGAGGTCATGTCAGATTATTTGGGGTTTATAAGGATGAATGAAGATACAGTAGATATAAGAAATAAAGAGAGCAGTTTTCTAAGACTTTTACTAGGTATAGAAATATTACAGAGCCTATTTATGTGTTTTTAAGGATAAGGGAAATGTTAGGCCCCAAAAAAGGAAGGAGCAGTTGGAGAAAGACTGAATTTTAAAGATAGAGAAGAGGCTGATAATAGGGGAAAAACCTTAAAAATGGGATGGAATCAAGGGTATATACATAGAGGATTTTACTCTTGTCAGGAGCAGGGCTATTTAATTCTTCATCAGAGATTAGGGTAAAGCAGGAGAGAATGGGGTAAAATATCAATTAACTGTGAGATGAAAAGAAGGGGGAAATAGCTCTCAACCATAATGTTCTCTGTTTTCTAAATGAAGTATGATATGAACTCTTCCCTTATGCAAATATTTGGGAGGAAAGGTCTGGGAGATATAAGGAGAGAAGATAAGTTTAGAAGCAGCCAAGGTAAGGAATGGGATATAAAAATCAACATGAAAGGAACAAAAGTACTATCTTGTTGAAATGAGGATCAGTTCCAATTATATTAATTGGTAATGAATCCAGTCAGTAGAGTTTTGTAACTTTTCCCAGCTCTATCAAACAGTAAATGAGCAAAATTATAAGAGGTGGGTGAATAAAGTAACCAAGGATTAGGGCTTGGCAAGTTGTAATCTTCAGTAAGACAAAGCAGCAGGTGATTCAAGAGGAGAGATGAATATCCAGTTAAACTGGCTAATTACAGGGACACAATTAGGATGGGAAGAAAGTAAAATCAGATTAAGCAGGATTGCCAAGCAAATTGTGAAATGGTACCAAAACCGGAGGTCTCAATAAAAACAAAGAATTGGCTTAAGAAGAATAATTCATGGGAAAACAGGCATTTTAGTTAAAGTACAAGAACTCTGATTGAAATTATACCTCTTGAAATCAATAATTGAATTCCAAAAGGTCTTTATATGAAGAAAATAGACTTCCCTCTTCCTCCCCTTGCTCATCACTGCTTCTGTTTGTGCTCATAACATACATGGAATATCTTCCCTTGCAGCCTCGATTTTTATGCCGTTTGAAATCCAACCCAAACTCTATTAACATCCCTACCAATTAAGCATGAATCTGTCCCTTGATCTTGCCAGTCAGAAATAAGCTCTCTGTCTCACATCTCTCTGAGCTCTTTATTTCCTCCCCTGCATTTTATCCCATTCTACTTTGAATTACAGTCATTTGTATATATTTCATGTTCACCTGATAGACTGGAAACATCTTGAGGCCTAGTGATGATTCATATTTTTGAAACTATGCAGGTTTAGAATAGAGGCTTATACAGAGCAAGATCTTGATAAATGTTCTGTCAAATGTTATGGGTGATCCATCCTTTTTAATTCCTTTGCCTCATGACCAAATGCAAATGTCTACTGATATATGGCCTTAGAGGCATAAATAATGGGTGTTAGAGGTATAGCTTGGGAAATATTTTATGAGTATATAGGATTTTTTTGAGTTCCAGGAGTGTTTTAACTAGGGCAAAGTAAATAAAAATCTAAAGTGGTGTTTGGGGGTGGAGGGAGCAGTTTTTCCACATGCTATATTCTTCAAACCAGAAGAGATCCAACACAGAAGAGAATGCTTCAGGAGTTATTTTTTTCCATTTGGGGATAGATTTGTATTTCAACATGTCTGGTCTGGGTTGGTGGTACCCAACAGAGAGCTTGAAATTGAAAAGGCCATGAGGAAGTCTAATCACTGATACCACATTCATCTGCATGACATGTCTAGTCTAGTGGGCTGGTTATAGTGTCAAAATGTCTTAGATAGTGAAGCAGTCTAGGCCAGGGCAGTGGACATCATTTTCAATTATTATATATCCTATATAACTTTCAGTCTCAAAGTATGAGAAGACAATCATTTGTTCATAAACAGCATATTAAGGAACGCCTCAGCAAAGGAACCTAGAGGAGCTTTCAAGACAGCCTGAAAAGCAGGAAACCTGGATTAACATCTTGGTTTTGAAACTACTTCAATAATGACGGAAAAGTCATTTACCTTTTCTGTGCTCCAGAGTCATAGGTATAAATTGATAAAAACACTACTAAAATTGCCCACATAAAAAGAGGACTTATAATTAAAGTATTTCATGATAATGAAAATTATCTACGTAGAGAGATACAGCTATTGTTAGCAACTTTTTCAGGGTAAGGATATTGTTCAGAGATTCCTAGATAATCTGGGATGTAGAAGAGCATTAAAAATCATCTACTGCAGGGGTTCTTTGCTCTTTTTTGCTTCATGAATACATTTGCTATCTGATAAAGACCATGGACAAATTTGTGAAAATCATTTCTCTTCAAGGCATTAAAATATGTAAGATTAAAATGGAAAAAATACAGGAAAATACATTTATAAAAATATTTTAGGTCCATGAATTTCAGTTTTAAATCCTATGAAGTAGCTCCAACACTTCATTTTAAAAATAGGAAATTTAAGGCAAAAAGAACTGTCATTTGCCCAAAGTCACACAGTGAGCCTGAACCAAAGTTACCTGAGATGCTCTTCTCATCATTTGGCATCCGTTTCTTTTGTCCATGCAGGCAGTAGAGAAAAAAATTCTACCTTGAGAACATGGCCAATCTCACTGTGGTGACAGGATTCCTCCTCATGGGCTTTTCCAACATCTGGGAACTACAGGTTTTACATGCAATCTTCTTCCTGATCTACCTAGTGGCTCTAATAGGTAATATACTTATTTTCACCCTCATCTCTCGAGATGGGAAATTCCATACGCCTATGTACTTCTTCCTAAAGAACCTGTCCTTTTTAGACTTTTGCTTTATTTACACCACAGTCCCCAAATCAATTGCTAACTCTCTAAGTCACAGCTGCTCCTTTTTTTGGGGGGGGGGGTGTCTCCCAGCTCTTTTTAATGGTGTTGTTTTCAGCATCAGAGCTTTTTCTCCTCACAGTGATGTCCTATGACCGCTATGTGGCCATTTATCAGCCCCTTCACTATGAATTCATCATGACTAGAGGGGCTTGTGTGAAGATGGCAGCTGCTTCCTGGCTCAGTGGAGGTTTGTTTGGGGCCATATATTCAACTAGTATATTCACTTTGCACTTCTGTGGCTCCAAGGACATCCACCAGTTCTTCTGTGATGTCCCTTCCTTGCTCCAGACCTCCTGCTCTGAAACGCACCTTGCAGTTGATGTCCCTGTGGCTTTTGGGACTGGTACAGCAGTTTTCTGCTCTATTTACATCACAATCTCTTACAGTCACATCTTCTCAACTGTCCTGAAGATGCCAACCAGAGAGGGGAGGTCAAAAGCCTTCTCCACTTTCCTGGCCCACCTCATTGTTCTCACGGTTTTTATCACCACAGCTGTCATTGCTTATCTAATGCTACCCCAGGAATCTGACTCACTTCTAGATCTGTTGTTGCCCATGTTGTATACAGTGGTGCCCCCAACCAAGAACCCAATCATCTATAGTCTGAAGAACAAGGACATGAAGACTGCTTTGATGAAACTCATAGACTGGGAACAATTATCAAAAGGATTAATACCAAAGTCTTTTCCATGATAATATGACTCTGCACATATATTTACACATGTATAAACACACATTTACATAGATAAAGGTATGCATATGTGTATATATTTCATGTTTATACACATTTATGTATATATATATATATATTTTATACATATTGATACATCACTTCAATATGTGTACATTGACTTAAATTCCTTCCTACCATGTCCATGTCAAGTTCACCAATTTTAAAATGTTGACTCCCAGATTGTCTGGAGAATCATAAGAATATGCTTTTAAAAGTATGTTCAGTCATTCTGGTCCTGAAATCAAAAGGCCATTAGTTTTCTGAAAAAAGTGTACTTATTTGAAAATAATGTATTTGAAGTTCCTCTGATCAACTTAAGTCAACTGTTTTCTTAACACATAGCTGTATAGAATGATAGAAAATATGATCTGACTTGAAAACAGATGAAGCATTTGACTCAGGGTGCCACAACTTACAGTGAAGCACCAAAAGGTCTTTATATGTCTATTTTGCTTTATAGTTTTTTGAAGTAGTTTCACTATCCAATATTTGATCACGACAATAATAGTTAGAGGTAGTTAGGAAAAGTACTATTGTCACTACTTTTTATTTAATAACAATAAACATTTTCAAGAACTACAGTAAGTGATGGCATTCTGATTCAAGTGTTTCATCTATTCTCAGGTCAGATAATGTTTTCTACTATTTCATGTTGTCAGATGTTAACTAAAGAGTTGATATAAATTGATGAGAGGATCTTCAAATATGTTATTTTCGACTAATTTTCTTTAAGAAAAGTGTTAGACTCTTGATTTAACCTTCAAGTTTAGAACATAAGTACAGAAATCCAGAATCGAGAGGGACATCAAAGGCTGTTTCTCTAGTCTAACCTTGCCTGAACTTGACACCCATAACTTGACATTCACAATTCATGGTCATCCAAATTTCATGGGAGTATTTTCAGTGAGGGAGAGGAACTTCATGCAAAGGCAACCCATTCCACTTTTGCAGGTTTTTAATTGTTCAGACGCTTTTCTCCCATTAGGCCAAACGTTACTCTCTCTGCCATTTTTATCCATTCCTCCTACTTCCACCAGTCCTTTCACTACATTAATATGTAGGTTCTTTGGGATTATTATATTGGGAGCACAAAAGGGCAAATGATACACAAATAACTAAATCAGTCATATGTTCTGATCATACAAATCTATGATACATTTAATGTATACAATCCTATTTAAAGAGTAAGATTTTTTTAGGCAATTGGGGTTAAGTGACTTGCCCAGGATCACACAGCTAGATAGTGACAAGTGTTTGGTCTGAGGCCAGATTTGACCTCATGTGCTCCTGACTTCAGGGATGGTGCTCTATCCAATGTGCCACCTAGCTGCTCCGAGAGTAAGATTCTTACAACAGCAGAGTATAAAATGATTTCTTTGTGTTGTCACTGTATACAGAAAAGACATTCTTTTTGATATTAATTTGTTACCCCAGAGACTGTAGTTTTATGTCTGCTTTGTAAGAAAGTAAATACATATTCAAGACCACACTTGAAGATGTCTAGCTAAGTCCATATATTTAAATACATGTTTAAAATTTCGTTGAACATATATCCCTATATATTTCATTTAAGTAAGAAAGGGGTCTTCATATTAAATTTTTCATGTTCAAGTATACATCCATGCATCCATCTATCTATATGTCTATCTACACACAGAGACACACACACACACACACACACACACACACACACACCACACACTTAAAATAGGTGGTATTATGGATAGAGTACAGGGCTTAACATCAGGAAGACTGGAGTTTAAATGTAGTCTCAGAAAATCCCTAGCTGTGTGATCTTGGACAAGTCACTTAACATCTCTTTGCCTATAGATTGGTGATCAACTGGAGAAACAAGTGGCAAACCACTCCAGTGTCTTTGCCAAGAAAACCCCATAAACTGAAGTCCATTGGGTCATGAAGAACTGGACGTGATTGAATGAGCAAACAACATGTATTGAATATTATGTACAAGATTTTATTAATATACATTACATAATTACATATGAAAACATATTATAATATTAGACATAGATTGATAAGAAAAGATATAATTTCAGTATTTTTTTAAATATAGTCATATCAAGGCAGCTAGGTGAAAGAACACTCACTAGCTCTATGACTCTGGGCAAGTGACTTAACCCCAATTGCCTCACCAAAAAAAAAACAAAAAACTGTGTGTGTGTGTGTGTGTGTATGTATATATATATATAAAGGTATCTTTATGGCGGGGGTAGAGGGGATCGTTTTTGCACCATTCTAAAACTGTTTTAATGGCACTCCTTGTCTAGGCTTCCCTTTGCTAAAAAAAAAAAAAAAATTTAATTCACAAAATGTTATCTGACTGAAGAAAAGGGGCACCTGCAAAACCAGCCATGGATTCAAAGACTGGCCCACTAATAATGACAATATCCTAAATATCAAAGTATGTATTTGAGAATGGAGGAAATAGATAAACCCTTGTTAACCCTTCAGTTAAAACACTAGAAAGACCAGGAGATGAGAAAGCTGGAAGAGATGAGGTAGATGGGAAAGTATTCTCCAGCCAGACAATAATTTAAAATAAATAGGTAATTAAATCTGTGATATTGCTCTCCCTTGAATGGATACAACAAAATAGTAACTTAATTCAAATAAAAGGAATCAGATGCAATGGGTTCCTCCATAAGCTGGAACTAGAATGCGTCCCACACTTGAAAGTGACAAAAGAAAATGGGGATAAAAGTAAATGTATTCTTAGCCTCCACTGTCAATTTGAAATTTAGTCATCTTGAGACTCCATATATTCTTGAATGAACTTCATTAGGATTTGTTGAAAATTACTTTGGTTTTTTTTTCTTTCACTTTCCTAACTGGGCTACCTGTTTGCCATATAGCAATAGAAATAATGATTGACCATTAGACATCAGTAACTTCTCTTACACCCAATCATTAATCACTGCCTGAAAACATATGTTAACTTGAATTCATCAAGGGCTCCCTTATATTATTCCTGTCACGGTCTTTTCTCTCAAGGAACTCATCTTCAAATAAGGGAAGACAATCAATAAAGAGCGATGAAAAGACCCAGTGGTCCTTAGATTAGAAAAATAAGATAGGTGGTAAAAACATCTTTTTTACTGTTATTTCCATTTATAAAACCATATCCATTTCTGATATCACATCATTGACAATGCAGAGGATGTTTTTCCTGGATAATTGGTAGTTATGGCCAATGAAAAAACTGCTTTAAAAGGAGTTGCTGGGTCTCCCATCCACAATTGTAATTCCCTGGATGCCAGCTGTAGGGACTGGGCTTGAAACAGAGGTGGTCTAGTGTGATACTATTTCCGGGATAGTTGGGCTCAAATTCTAGGACTGTCTCTATCCAAGTTTGAGAGGAAAACTTGATTGATACTGCAGTGGTAGTTTGACTTGCCTGGCACATTAAGTCTCCTATCTTTCCCTCTACTTTCCTGCTTCAGATAGGCCATCTGTATAATCAGTTGCAAAAACTTGCCCTTTGTTTGATCCCTTCTCTCCATTCACACAAGTATCACCTTAATTCAGGCTTTTGTCACCTTTAGCCTAGATTACTGCAATAGTCTCCTACCAAGCCCCCCTGGTTCAAGTCTCTCATCACTCCAGAACATTCTGAGTACTACTGACAAAATAATTACACTAAGAGCAAATCTGACCATGTCACTATCCAACTCAATCAATTCTATTAACATCCTATAGCCTCAAGTATAAAATATAAACTCCTTTACTCTTCTTTTAAAGAACTTTAAGAACTGGCCTTACACCAATCTTTCCTCTTTAAACTTTACTCCTTATCCCACACAGTTTGATCAGCTTAATCGACCTTCACTCTGTTCCCCAGATGATACTTCATCACCTTTCTCCATGCCTTTGCACTGAATATACTACATGTCTTAAATGCATTCCATCCTTACCTCTACGCCTCAAAGAGTCTCTTCTCTTTCTTTATGGTACAGAACAAGCAACATCTTCTGAAGCCTTTTCTAATCTCCCTTATCTGCTGGTGCACTCTATCACAACATACCATGTATTTAATGACCATTTGTAATTTGGTATCACTATCTTTAGAACACAAGCTTCTTGAGAGTAAGAGTTACCTCATTCCTTGCACTTGTATCCTTACAAGAGTAGTTCTCCTTGCACATAGTAGGTATACAGTAAATGTTTGCTGAGTAACTGATTGATTCTCATCATTTCTCTTGCCTTCTATTCTACCTGAATTTTAATGGTCTTGTTTGTGGGCTATAGCCCACCCAAACCTGTTGCTTCTATATCCTCTTTCAACAATAGGAGGAACTTGAAGTTTCTGAAATACCAAGCTTCCTCTCTTCCTCCTACCCAATGTAGCATCATTTCCTTTGTTGTTCTTCAATTTCACCTTTCTCAGAGAATCCATCACAGATGAAAAGGAAAGATTCTCATCATCATCTTTATTATTTACACATTAGCTACACAAAAATAGCAAGAAAAATAGAGACAGAGAGAGACAGAGAGAGAGAGACAGACAGACAGACAGAATTAAGAATAGAAATGCATTTCTCTGAGCAGCGAAATGGGAGTAGAAGAGGAAAGGCAGAATTTAAGAGAAAACAGATTAAGAAAGAAATTAAGGATTAGTCCTGAGGAAAACAAACTCTAGCAAAGAATGTACAAAAGTATTTATAGAAGTTTTTGAGGTGGCAAAAAAAAATGGGAATCTGAGGGAGTGTTGATCAATTGAGGAATAACTGAACAATGTATGGAATACAAAAGTGATGACATCAGTTGGAATCCTTGGAACTAAAGTGCAGGACACTCTCCTGTTATCATTGCTACTGCCACCACTGCCTATGCTGCCATCTGTGACTCTTTGGCTTTGAACTTCTCAGATTTGCCAGTATATTGAATTGCTATGGAGCAATATACAAAAATAGAGAAAACTGAAGAAGGTACTTTGGTGCTA